ACCCATTCCGGGGGCCGGCCGATGTCCTCTGTTCCCGCTGCGCGCGGTCCTGCATCTGCCCGAGCCGCATGCGGCTCGTCCGATGGAGAAATCATGAAGGAGTGCACTGACCGTGAGACACATGGTCACGTGACTCGCCTTGCTCTGGGAGCGCGCCGCGTGTCTCGGGCGCGCTCTTAAAGGGACAGTGGAGCCGAAATGTAAAACGGTCTCCCATTGGCCCATATCATTCCACATTCCCCATACACTTATGTTTTGGGGGCGTGGATATGACAGGGGCCAATCAAATTGAACACTAGGGTATTTATACTCACCTTTCCCTTAGCTCCCTGTCCTATCATGGTTTCTGCTTCAGTTCCCTTTAGTGCTTGTATCATTCAGTAGTGTTTTTTTCGTGCTTGACCTTGGCTTTGTACCTGACTCTGTTTTTCTCTTTATCCCTGCTTTGTCTTGTTTGCCGTCTTCCTGACTCCTGTGTACCAGACCTTGGCTAGTTCTTGTTTTCGCTGTCTTTCTGTTCCCTTGACCTTGGCTCGTTCCTGACTCTGTCACTTTTCTGTACTACGTTGAGTCGGGCCATTCTAAGGCCCGGTAAGACGTATCTTCTTTATTTTGCCTCTTGTTGGACTAAATCTTGCGTGTTGGGGTACACTACCATGACAATGTCTCGCTCCATGCACCACAGACTGTCCAGGAGTTGGCAGATGCTTGAGTCCAGGCCTGGGAGGAGATCCCTCAGGAGACCATCCGCCACCTCATCAGGAGCATGCACAGGCATTGTAGGGAGGTCATACAGGCATGTGGAGGCCACACACACTACTGAGCCTCATTTTGACTTGTTTTAAGGACATTACATCAAAGTTGGATCAGCCTGTAGTATGTTTTTCCACTTTAATTTTGAGTGTGACTCCAAATCCAGACCTCTATGGGTTGAAAAATTTGATTTTCATTTTTTAATTTTTGTGTTATTTTGTTGTCAGCACATTCAACTATGTAATGAACAAAGTATTTCAGAAGAATATTGAATTAATTCAGATCTAGGATGTGTTTTTTTTTTTGTGTTCCCTTTATTTTTTTGAGCATATATATATATATATATATATATATATATATATATATATATATATATATATATATATATATATATATATATATATATATATATATATATATATATATATATACACACACACACACACACACACACACACACACACACATATAATACGTGTGTATATAATACGTCCCAGACAGTGCCATCTAAGAAGAAGACCAATCACCGGCAGGGGAACGGCAGCGATCGGTAAGTATATGGGAGAGGGAGCAAGGGAGGGTAAGGGTTGATTTTTTTAATCCCCTCGAGGCACTCAGTACAGGCAGAGCATCAGACGCCTGCCTGATGGCTTCCGATGCTCTGCCTCACTGCCGTGGAGCAAACCGGGAGTGATCACTCCGAGGGGAGCGATCACCCAGTGTTCTCCGGCGGCAGGCAGTGAGGGGGGTATTGCAGCGATGCCTCAACATTGAGGTATCGCTGCAAAACCATTAGAGCTGCTGGAAGCGAACATCATCTGATTTCTGTTTTGAGTGGCACAGAGCCTTTCTTATTTTGTGAGAATTATTCAAAACGGGAATTGAAAAGGTATTAATATTATTATTTTTTTTAATATTATTGCGCTATATATCTTTTTTTTTTAGTTATTTTAGGTAGCAATAGGTCTTTAGCTAGCTTGTTGATCCCAAGCACATATGGTTGCTGCATGGAAATTGGCTTAGCAGTATATTATTGTCTTATTTGTAGTAAAATTAAATTACACAGTTTCTTGGACACTTAGAGGCACTTTATAAAACTTAAAGGCACTTTTATTATATAGTGCACTTTATATTATGCCATTTTGTTCACCTAATTTGATCATATTTAGTTGGTATCTGGTATAGGTTTCAAAGACTTATCGTAGACAATGTTCACAAAAGAAATTAGACAAGAAGAAAGTAATACATCTCTGCAGTGTACTAACTATGGTTCCACTCAAGTGGATACAAAATAAGCAAACATTCCTCTTAAATAAACAGAAATTGAGTAATTATGTACAACATCCTCATGGGGTCAATAGCATAGGTCAAAAAAGTGTTGGGATATTTAATGGAAAGATTAAAGACCTTCATCCAGGTGCTTAAGGAAGAAGGAAAAAAAACACTAATTTCTCTCTTAACCTTGTATTTTTTTTTCTGAGTGAACATGGGAGTTAGACGAACCCTCCTACTAGTATTCCATATCTTTGAAGACCCATTGGGTAAAACTAGCATGGATTCCGACATGATGTAATCTATAAGATGATAACCAGATGGCTGGAGCCTACATGTCTAATAAGAGAATTTACTAAACTCTGTTGAAGGGTGGGTGTCTGAGGGGACTTGACCTTACTATATAAGTTATTTGAAGCTCAAAAATTACAATACTCTTTGACATAATTTAATTTAAACAAACACTATTAGCCTGCTTTGTGGCAAAGGGACATTCACTGTAGTTCAGTAATTTTTGTTTATAATTGTCATAGATTAAAGTTGCCAAAATGTCTGCTTTAAGAGGGGAAGATTACTGAAAAAAAGTGCACGGTCATTCTGCAGATCATTCTACTACTTAATTTAAAGACTTGATCCCATCATCATTTGTTTGAAATAGCACGGCAGTTTAATCGCAAACCTTTATTAAATAAATCTGTTTTATTTGTTTAGTTACAAATTACAATATTTTTGTTCTTTTGTCTTGTGACTATATTTCAGTCTTTATAAAAATAGAGAAAAGGAAAAGCATAGTAGAGCCACACCTAAATCCAATAAAAATGCATGCACTATACCAGTGTTAATGATGCCGAATAACAATTTTTGTAAAATTCTAGTTGACTAAAATTTTTAAGATTTAGTCGACTAAAACTAGACTAAAACTAAAAACTATTCAGATAACTAAAATACGACTAAAAGTAAAATGTGTTTTTTTGGCAGAAAACCATGACTAAAACTAAATTGAAATTTGCCGCCAAAAAAGGGGCTGTGGAAGGGGCAAAAGAAACCGACCAGGGCTTTTTTAGAGAGACACTTAGATGGGCCGGGGGGTCACAAAGAGACGCAGAGGGGCTAGGAAAGGGTCAAAAGAGACAGAGGCTTTAAATAAACCCATTGTATTTAGATGACTAAAATATGACTAAAACTTAAATATTTTTTTTTCAAAAGACTATGACTAAAACTAAATTGAAATTTGCTGCCAAAATGAACTCTGCACTATACATTAGACTTATGCACGGTGAAAAAAATTCAGTTTGTCTGAAAGAAAAATGGTTTGCGGTGATTCTGGAGTTTTCATTCTGCATTTTAATTCAGGTAAATTTCCTCTCGGCAATTTCAGGAAAACAATTCAGATGAACCAACATGGTGGGGAAAATGGGCCAATCAGTGTACTGCAAAATATAGATATTATGTATATATTTTGCAGTCACATTTTTGCACCGTTTGGTTCATGGATCAAACGAAAGGAAGTAACCAATAAAGGGAAAAAAGTGAGCAGTAAAAAATTATCTATATTTATGTATTTATTAAATCAGAACCCACAATTTTTAGAGAACTTAGATATAGTGATGGACTTAACACAGTATGACCTTACAGTGTAATCAAATTACTATATTTTTGCTTGAAATAAGCATTTGATGTAACACAGAATAAAAAGTGAAACAGGTTACATTCTACATGTTACATTCTATATTTGTTTGTGTGTTTCATGTATCATGATCTGAGACATTAAACCATTTTTATATTTTTGCTATCTTTGCTCTTTGGACATTTCCATCTTATATTCCTTCAAATATTATTCATTGTGTTTTAAAAGGATGCTGGGGGTGTTTTCTTCATAACTTTCGAACTTTGTTTAGCTTGGACAAAATACTATTAGTAATCCATACATTTGCACAGTTTTGTCCATTAGAAATTGTAGACATGGAGTGCAGCTAAAGAATAATATATGAATCTAGGATTAGCTACTTGGGCTGATTTTAGGAAACTATCATATGTATATAAGATTTTTACATACTTTTAGCAGTTACAGATCATAGGCTAAACAGAGTACATTTCTAATTCAATTCTAAAATTTTCAGATTGTGATATGTTGGGTATCTAAGTTAAAGGGACACTATAGTCGCCAGAACAACTGCAGCTTGATGTATTTGTTCTGGTGTCTATACCATGTCCCTGCAGGTATTTAGCTGTAAAGACTGCCTTCTCAGAGAAAGGGCAGTGTTTACATTGCTCCCTAGGGACACCTCCAGTCTCAGTCACTCAGATGGGCACTAGAGGTGCTTCCTGGGTCAGTGCTGCACAACATTCAGCACTGACATTCAGCGTCTTCACGTTCTGCAAGGAGACGCTGAACTTTCCCATAGAGATACATTGATTTGATGCATTTCTATGAGGAGATGCTGATTAGCCAGTGCTGCGGTTGACTCTGCCCCGCCCTGTCGCCTTGGCTGAGATCACCAGCACTGTGTCACGGGTGGTGGTACGGAAACCGGGACCTCTGAGTGCCTGATGAGAAGATGGGAGTCTTCAACGTGGAAATGGACTATCAGGGCGTGGTGCAGGGTAACTGCACACCCCCTGGTGTTGAGCACCAGCGTTTGTGCGGCCACAAACCAAGACCCTGTAGCAGCTTAGTGGAAGCCAGAGCAGACATATGCTGAGATGTATCCAGTACTAGAAACAAGATAAGGCTAGATAAGGCTAGGATAGACACCAAACAAGAAAACAAGACAGAACTAATAGAACCCAGAACCGGAGAAGGATAGGAAGCTAAACCCAGAACATGTACACAATACATAAGGGAACATTAACTAAACAGGGGCAGGACAGGACTGTACATGGACTGGGAATACAAACTAAAACAAGACAAGATATGATAGGCAAAACAAGAGGAGACATAACTAAGCACTATATATGAAAAGTATGGGGATTTAGTTACATTATATGATCATACATTGCATAAGCCTGCCACAACGCCAATGTACCCCATATTCGGCAGGTCCTACACTGCCTAATGTTCGCTAAAAGAACCATACTAAACCACAATAGCACTTACCTGCAAGAAAGGGCAGAGACTTGAAACACTGCTGCAGGTCCAGACTGAAACAAAAGGAAAATGGAAAACAAACAGGTGTGGCAACATAAAACAAACATTTAAAGGAAACCTGGACACTGGGAATTCCAGGGATGGATTACAGGAATGAACCCAGAAAAACCCAGCATAAAGAAAACCAGACATAGAAAAGAAAACCAAAAAACCAAGAAAAAACTAAACAAAAATTGTAAAAAGAGTACTGGATACCAGAAGGAGGGCAGACCCGTGTGGCATGGGAATAAAAGGAAATAAAATATCTTTTTAAGGCGGATGAAGGGGGCTGACCACTTAAATTGGTAGTTTAACACAATAGGGTCAGGAATTCATGTTTATGTTCCTGCTAGATACTCTCAGTAGAGAAATATCAGTTTTGTTTTCCTTCGAGCATTTTCCCTGAAATTATAGCACCAGCATATTCTACAGCAATGCACAATAGCGCTTTGATTTTGTAAATTTTAAGATATTGTTAAACTGTAACAATGCCTTTCATGTCCCTGTTTAAAATTCCTTGAGACACCAAGACCAAGAGATATGAGGATACTGTTAAAAAATAAAAATAAAAATAACTAATCAATCCTCCTCCTTAGAAATGTAATTAAGCGATCCTTGTTTTGACAGTCATCGTGCAAAGAGGTACAAAATGTCTCCAAAACAAAATTAAAATAACACAATCCGCTGTATACAACAGTACAAATTGATTAAAGACAAACTGGAATTTCTCCTTTTAATTAAACCTTTAATCACTGATGCAAGGAGTATTAACACCAACAGAGGCGTGGCGAGAAGTTAAATTAGGCACAATAGACATAAAACTTTTTTAGGGGACACGTGCAATCATGTTCTGCTAGGAATAGCCATTTAAAAACACAACCATTTAGCAAACGAATGACATAGATGTGATGACTACAAAGATATATTCAAGAAAAATCAGACCCCCCAAGACTTTACATTAAACATTCGTCTTTGAGTAAATTGGTTGAAGTATTCTATTGAACTATTTGTTGTATAGTTGTGACAAAACAAAATACACTTACATACAAGAGTTTTACACAAGATACAACTATATTCCAAAACAATATTCCAAATTATAATAAGTTATATATTTAAATATAGAAATAGAATGTAGACCAGGTGTGCATCTTAACTTCAGATATATAACTCCTATAATTCCTTGGTAGTAGCTGGTCTTCCCCCCAGCTACTCCCTTTACTGTCTGATCAACTAATGAGTTCATACTCAATCAACACTATCAATCTATGCTAACATTTGCATGAGAGCAGGGAAAGATAGAATTTGTACCCTCGGTGGTCATGAGGACCATAGAGTTGTTGCAGAGAGTGTGGTGCTGTCAAGATATTTAGGTAGAGGTGTTGCTGCAACAACTCTGACAACTCAGGGTCCCTCTCCCGCCCGGCTCTGGAAAGGGGAAAGGGGAAAGGGGTTAAAACTTACCTTTATCCAGTGCTGGGCGGGGAGCTCTCCTCCTCCAATCCTCCTCTTCTCCTCCCCGTCAGCTGAATGCGCATGCGCGGCAAGAGCTGCGTGCGCATTCAGCCAGTCACATAGGAAAGCATTCATAATGCTTTCCTATGGACGCTGGCGTGCTCTCACTGTGAACCAGGCACCCAGACCAGGCACCCAGACCACTTCATTAAGCTGAAGTGGTCTGGGTGCCTAGAGTGGTCCTTTAAATGTATTGTATTTCTTGTAACTGATCTTTTCAACATAGCCCAACCTTTTACAAATTAAATCTTGAAGTCTTTATTGAATATATTTTGTTTAATCATTTTCTGTGCCATCTCCAAAATAACATAAGATAATATATTAGCGCAAGATAATAAAAAATATTTAAAACAAACCAACAATCCAGATCGATCAGTAAGTTGTGGAATGGATGGACTTAGTAAAGATGATTGTAAATCATTCAGATCCATTTAGATTTGGTTAAGGCATCAATATGGATGTACAGTAATGAAGAAAGAATAGCAGATCAAACAAGAGGATTAAAAATTCTAAAAGGGTATTAAGCACAAGCATGATAGGCCTCCTATAAGTTTTTATTTAATTGTTTTCTGCATTATTCCCAATGGTTACATGAACACCAAACTATGGTGTAAAAATATAATGGTTCGGTCATTAATATTAGGTTTGTTGTATATCCTAATTGAAAACAGGTGAAGGCATATTCGAAGATGCTGCTCTAATGATTATAAGTGATATGTTGGCATTTTTGGAGTGGGCCACCTTTGTCAGAGCCCTTAGTGGGGTTTAGTGGGGTCACTGATACATATTAATACAGTGTTGTTTCTCAGAACATGCACTTATTTTGGTTTAGAAAACATATAAAACTGAAGATATAGCATTTTAAGGAATAAAAGAAATACAATATAAAAGTATAAACAAACATATAGTAGTGTGGTATATTAAAACACCAAATTTGTGCTGGAGTCTAAAATGCACTCACGAGATAGTAATCGATTGCAGGCACATAGAATATCTTAAAGATTGAAGGAGCTTGATTTTCTTCTCTCTTAACCTTGAATAGGGAATTGAGAGAGAGACACAAATATTGTGCACCAATAACATAACCTCACAAGATAGATATGTTAATCCAGCATGTCACAAAATCAATCCTTCGGAATCATGATCATGAAAGGACTCCCTCCTAATCAGGAACGAGGTGTGAGGTAGCCAGAAATCATATACAATTAATAACAAAGAACAATAAAAATAACTTTAAAGTGCTTGATTGAGTCTCTCCGCCCTACACGTTTTGTCCTGAACAGGACTTCCTCAGGGGCATCCAAAAGTGAGTAGTCTAATCTCCTCCATTCGCTTTTTAAATGGTAGTTACGCGCCTTCCTGCCATGCCTGCAGCCAACCAGGTTACTGCGCCGTAATCCAATTTACCTGTGTTCGTTGATTTCCTGGTTTGCATTCCATGTCTTACTCTGGAGATGCGTGTAGATGGAAACATCTGGTATCACATGGAATGCTCCATGCATTCCCACGATCACAAACCGGATGTCATCATGTCCGTAGATGATAGAAGTGTTATACCATAATAGAACGAAGAAATGGAATAAAATTGGAAACACAGAATTAGCTCAACAAAAAATATAACGTGAGCTCTAATCTTAGATAAAGAAGAAAAGGAATAAGAATAGTTTAAAAAACACATTTAAACAATATTTTCAATTAGGTGTATGTATTATTCTAATGATATAAAAAAACATGTTAAACAGCAAATATTTTATTAAAGGAACAGTTTAATGGGGTAGTTTCTTAAACAATTTAGTAGATATACCCAAAGAAGACATGCATGCAATTCCTTTTGAATATTTCCTTTTGAGGATATATGAAATCTTTGTAAAACTCGCACAAGACTATGCAATCACAGACTTCTTCTTAGTAAGCTAAATTAAGAGGAAAAAATACCTTGGGTCTATCAGATTGAAATACATATAGGTGTAACAGGGTTCCATTATAAAAGGGCCAGTTTCTATAGTAAAATAAAATTCTATCATAAAATAAAAAAGGGAACACACTCTTCACATAAAAACCAATTCACAAAGCTGAAGCGATTTATGTGTTTGGAGTTTCCTTTAAATGTTAACATCACGTGTGGACCTCACAAAGCACATCCACTAGCAAAAGCCACAGGAATGTGTCTGTGGGGTAGGCAAGTTAATCTTCTCTGTGTGATTGGAGGCAAAGATTTAGAGAGAATTAGGCATGACAAGGAAAGAATGTTTTTGATGCAGCCTGCTTGTGTACAATATGAATGGGCTGTCTGTGCGTGATGAGGCTTCTCTATCTTCATCTGAAATTTTAACGACAGGAAATGTACTATCCTGTTTATATTTTGTACGTTTTAGAGATTACGTTATAAATACGTTATATAAATCTAATTTATTATTTCTAATCAATGAAGTCATGTCATTTAGTAAAGCAAGAATATTCAGTGTAATATTCCCCCCCCCCCACCACCTTCTCTAATAATTACCCGACTGGAGATCAAGCAGATCATGGACCACCAAGACGATAAATAGTTAAATGTCCTTATTAAAGAGATACAGTCTCTTAGCAGTCTTCCTGTTTTATACAATCCTAAATATCCGATTTCAATTGCTTTGCAAGTGTAGCGTGACAAAGACAAAGGGTTGACAAATGACTGGTATAAACTCATGGCTAAATTGAAATGGCATATCTCATAACACTCTTTTAATGGCATGGGCAATCTGAAATATAAATAAATGTCCTTGTTTGAAGAAATTCAATATCCGCCTCTCTTTGTGTACATACAGGGCAATTAAACATGCCTAATTTAATCTCTGCTTTTTTCAGCCTCAGAATAAAATGAATACTAACTCTGCGGATAAAAAGCATTCTATTCTCAGGGTGCCTCTACGTCTCATTCAGCTACACTTGATGTTTGTTTTTTAAAATAAATAAGCCAGGCAGGCACTGCCACTAGACTAAGCTACTACAGTGTTCAGTGGTTACTTAGTAGTCATCAATTTATTTTATAGAGATTTCTTCTACGTCCATTAATTTATCATTTTGCTTTTGCTGTGAGTGCAGTGGAACTCAAAAAGATTTAATAAGTGGCTATTAAATGAAATGTAAGTCTCCCATGTACTTAATATGCGTATTTGTTTACAAGGCACAATGATGCCACTTTTATAGGAGAGAATCTTGTGACGGCACAGCTGTGTACCGCAGAGTAAAAAGTTATTCAGTTGAGAAAATAAAAGCTGGATACATTTTGATTTTTGGAAATTACTGGTTTATGCTTTTTAGATACATAACTCACAAAATTTAAAATTTATTGAAAGCTTTTTTTGATATAAATAATACTGCATTGCTACTGAGAAAAGCGTAAGCCATGGCTTTCATTGTGTTTAGATTAGGCATCTGAAACTCCAGCTCTACAGATGTCGCGGAACTTCAACTCCCAAGATTCTCTGGTCATCTGCTGTATTCAAAAAAGTCTGGGGATTGAAGACAAACAACATAGAGAGGTGGGAGCAGAATTTAAG